AGCATTTGCAGCACCCTCAACCATCTCTGCGGTAGGTGATGTATACGCACTATCTAGGGATTGAACCCAGCTAGTGAGCGCCTTTTCTTGAATTGAATTTAGGGATCTGGTTATTGTGGCACGGTCGGTATAGGACTGACGGCCATGAATCCTAGCCCTAAGCCGATGGTATGGTACGTCCAATTCCCGCGCTAGTTGGGCGATGTTAGGCTTGTTAGCCTAGGAGAAGGCTTTGACTGCAAGCTGGATTTGGATTTCCATTTTTTAGTTCGGTCTGACGTCGTGGTGTGGTGTAAAATAGGTACAAAAGTGATAATAAATTGGAAATTTTGCGTTTGGTGGGGCGCACCAACTACCCCGGGATGGGTGGTTGGGCGCTTGGCACGGTTAGTGATCCAACGTTGTTCTACAAGACGATCCTCATTTCTCAGGAGCATACAGTCTTTCATCTTTAACGCAAAGAAAACACATATCCCCAACATGGCTTCAATCTTCTCAAGATGATATGATCTGTTACAGGCCGTGAGAGGCGCAAATGACCACATTCTTCACAGACCAACACGTTCCCGGCACCAATCTGACAGGACAATGGACCGTTATCTCCGGATCTTACAAAGGAGTTGGCCTTGAAGCAGCCAAATACTTCGCATCATGGGGCGCAAACATAATCCTCGCCTGCTGCGAACCACCCGCATGGGAACTACACCCAACAGCCGCTGTGGACGAATGCAACGCCCTCACCGCGGCGAACGGGCATTCGTCCACTATCGAATGGTGGCAGATTAACCTGGCGGATCTCAGCAGCGTCGAGGCTTTCTGTCAAAGATGGCTTCAAGGCGACCGCCCTTTGGACATCCTGTGTTAAAATAAATGCCGGCATTCCAGAATCTACCAAGCAACCCAATCCAACGAAGAATGGTTCCCAGCTAGTTCATCAGGTGCGTTTTTCTCTTGTCTTCTTCAACCTCCTGGGGCATAACAGACACTAACAAGCCCCTTCCAGGTCAACTTCTTGTCTCCTGTGCTACCGACCCTACGACTCCGACCATCTCTAGCTCGCAGTGCCGAACCTCGAGTCATCTGCACGACTGCTTTCACCAACTCGGGGCCTTCGATCTGGACCATGTCAATGGTGGACCCGGCCAGAAGGGCGACGATTATCTGAACAATAAGCTTGACTTCCAAATGTGGGTTGCAGAATTGCAGTCCAAGACTCCTCAAGAACCCCGACTCCCTCCATATCACAGTCAACGGCGTTCATCCCGGCTTTGTGGCTTTCGGGTATATGGGTCCGTCTTCAGGCCACGGGAAACGCCGCAAGTGGACTGAACTTGCTTTTGTTTCATGTCGCTATCACGTCTCAGGGTGGGTTAGCTATTTCTCATGCTGCTGCCGATGTGGAGTTTGGACCAGAGCCTAAGAGGCAGGGTGTTGGCGTGGAAAATGGGCGGGGTGGAGGGAGATACATCAATCGGATTTGGGAATGACCTGCTCAATCACCTTTTAATGACCCAAAAGCTAGATCCAGATTATGGATGCAACGTGATGAGGAGCTCAGGTTACAAGAGACGGATCTTCTAACAGGGCTGGATCTATAATGTGATGAACCATGTGCCACCATACAGTCCGAAGGGTAAATGCTTAAAAACACCAAGAAAGAATATCAGAGATTGTATTAGAGAACAAATTAAAAGAACGTCTATCTAACTGGCCGTGCCTGCTGGTCGGCCATAATTGGGAAAACGAAAAACTAAAAGGAAAGATCTTGGATAGTTGAGATGAAAAGGCTGTGACAACAAAAGGGAGCAATGAGGAAGGATTTTCCCAAAGTACCTAGGATAAATTCAAAGCATAGACCAGAATACCAAGCAAGAGTATAGACAAGAAAACGCCGTAGCACCGTCGCTGAAGGCTGATGCAAGAAGAGAGAAAAAAAATCCAACACGCTCCGGTAGATGTCGCCCAAAAATGCAGCAGTCACGCCAATACCCCTTGTCTCATGTTCTCGACCGTCTTGACCCCAACACCTTTCAGCTGGCTCAGTTGCGCCAGGCTGTTAACCTGGAATTGGGACTGGTCGGAGACGCTTCCACTGTCGGTTATATCCAATAATGTCTGGTCCATCTCGCAAAGGCAATCAACAAGAGCCTCTGCTTTCTTGGCGCCCACTCCTTTGAGCAATTTGATCTGGCTCACATCCCGCGAGTTGATGATGGAAAGGACGTGCAAAGTTCGGGGAGAGATGGACGGGTTCTCACTATCAAGGAGTTCGGGGGTTTCCTCGATCTGACTGAGCTTGGCTGAAGCACGCTTCTTGTGTCTTGGGCGAGGAACATCCTCGTCGCTTGAAAAGCCGGCTTGATGCTGGTCCATGTATTCATCCTCGTGGCTTTCTGCTTCGCGTTTGCCAAGGGTTTTTGTTGCGTCCTTCTTGAGGGAGAGCATGCTACCCGTGCTCTTGAGTGGGCAATGGACTTTCTCTTCCCAAGTCTTTGCAAGAACGCGCTGTTTCAGAGCAGCAATCTTGCCTGCCAGCTTCTCATTATGAGGGAAGTGAGGAGCTGCCAGTTGATACATTCTCAAGGCTGAGCTGTCTTCACCACGTGCCTGGTGTTGTTTAGCCATCAGCAGGTACGACAGGCCCTCGGCCCGCGCATCTTCTGTGCCATCAATGCGCTGTTCCAGTTGCTCCAGTCGCTTTTTTAGCTGCTCATTAAGCTCATCGGCTTGCGTCTGTCTCGACTGTTCGCTCACGGCCCGCACTGCTAGGATCTCCTCGACCTTCCTCTCAACCATCTCCTCAATCCTAGCAGCCGAGATGTCATCATGGCGCACGGTGGGTTGCGCACCGAGAGGCTGACGAGCGAGCTTCAGTGACGGAAGACCGGAGGGGGCGTTGGAGGTCGAGGTGCGTTTCGGTGCTTCGGGTTTCCGAAGCTGGCTAATAAGCTTCGGTTGCGGCTTGTCCGAATACACGCTGAATGCCTTCACGGGCTTGCCGTCTTCCTTTTCTGCGGAGTCCTTTGCAGCGGACGCCGGCATATTTACGTTCACAGAAGCAGTTAGTGCACGCAAAGGTTGCCGCGTGCCTATAGATGACCGGGTCGATGGTCGGGCCGGACCCTTGAACATGGGATCGTTTTCTACTTCGCGGACCTCGATCTTCCGTGTGCGATTGGCAACGTTCAGGGAGCTGATTGTGTCAAGATGGTAGGAGCGAACAGACGCGAGGTTAAGAATCATCACTGTCAAGCCATTGTTCTGCCCTAAGGACAAAATTCTTGTCATCTTAGATTCGCGGTATGGGATGCGATGCTGCTTCTTGTTGATAGCTTCGACACACTGTGCCAGAACAAACAGACTCTTGTTAATGCTAGCCGATTCAACCATGCGCTCTTTGTCATTTTCCGTCCTTCGGTTGTCTTCAGATCCTGCAAGATCAATAGCAGATGCAGTGCTGACGCGAACCTTGTCGGAAGAGGAGATGGTGACCTTCACGCCGAGAACGGCGTGAGATCGAGACGAATGGGCGTTGAGCTAAATTGGTATCTTTAGCAGGAGAGTATAGACTTCAATTTTGGCAAGTGATCATACCTTTGTCGCGGAGGTAGATCGGTTAGTGTTGGCCTGGTCATAAAGCTGCTCAAACTCCTTCAAAGTAGTACATGGCTTCTCACTCAAGCCGCAAACCACAGTTTTGCCGCCATTATCTCGGAGGGGAAGACCTGACAGTGTGCGCTTCTCGGGCGGCTCGAACAAGTCGTACACCTTGTCGTTGTAGATTTCATAATAGCTCAGGGCAACCTGAACCGTCGTCTGTTCATCGCTATCCTTCTCAATCTTCCTGCTGCGTCTGTAGATGCCACTGAGTAGCCGGGGAATTACACCCCGGTCTGCCAAGGTTTTCCCCCCACGCATTGTGTGTGTCTTTCCTGTTCCGGTGACGCCGTATGCGAAGATAGTCACGTCGAATCCGTTGAGAAGATGCTTGATCGTTGGCGCCACTGTTACTCCAATCAACAAACTGACCCATCGCAGTCCTGGTGAGATCTTAAGCACAACTCACCTTCAGCATCAAACAGCTCCTGCTGCGACACATCCGCATCGTATACCCCATTGAACTGGAACGCATACTCTTCTCCCTCATTCTTGGGGTTTGGAATCCGAACCACATTATCCCTGTCCCTCAATGCCGCCAATTTCTTGTCGCTTTTGTCACTCTTCTCGCCATTTATAGACTGACGTAATTTGGAGTCGGTGACAGCTGAAGATCCTGTTCGAACGATCACATCGGCCTCCCGTTCGGACTTGAGAAGGGGACGAATACGCGCAACAACTCGGACACTCATAGTGGCTGGATGTTCATTCAATTGTCGTCTGATGGTCTGGGTCTTGGACGTCAGGGGCGCGAACCAATCCAAATGAAACCAAAGGAATGACTATAATAAAATTAAAGGCCAAAAAAGAGAACAATAAAGTCCTCCACGAAAAAAAACAAAGAAACGAAACTAACTACTTGGTGTATGCAGAACTGAAGGTTGTGGAACGTGTGGAGGGGGGTTCTCCTGTGCGGCAGCGTGTGGTTTGTGTTGGCAGGGCAACGGCCTTGTGCTCTACAACGTACGGCGTTGTAGAGCATACATTCTTGAGAGTCGAGCACACCACAGTGGGGATATGCATCTGGTCTGATACAATTTGAAAAAGGGTATCATTTTGGAAATATCATAGTCTCATTACTACGACTGACAGCACAGTATAACCTATGGACATGTACTGAGCTTGGACCGAGGCTTAAGTGTTCATGACTGACCAGCCCAGATACCTAGAGATCTATGTAGATCAGCTCGATGGCAACAAGCATTGCATATACACAATTCAATAACTCCACATTGATATCAAACCCGTACGCTAAATATCAAATGTTGTCGCATATAAAATTACACGCCTCTCGTCACATGTCCTCTGGTCTCTGATTGGCCGGACCACTACGACCTAAAGGCCACCGTAGACCATCATCACCGCCTCTCCCACACTCTCTTGGTTACTTCTGGTGAGCTGTCATCTGCCTCGCCACTGCCTTTTGTGATACTTCTGGGGTTTCTAAAGGTACGGTCTTCCCTGTACACAACCAGGTTCGCTCTGTTTGGTTGACAAGAAATTGATTGTGGGGTTCCAGGAGCTGTTACCACCCGCCTCCTCACATCGATTCCACCCACCGACTTAGTGACGAGCGCAACCATCTTTTCCTCCCAACCCTTGAGTTCGACCAAACACAACCCTCTTGACTCTAATGGCAGCACCACAAGGGGGATTCCCTCCTCAAGAAGGGTATGGTCAGCCCGTTTACGGCTCCCCAGAACCCACACAGTCCCCGGTCCATGGGCAAGGCGCGCCAGCGCCAGCCGCAGGTGGAAAGAAGAAGAGAGCTTACGCCGGTGAGGCATTCGGTTTTGGCTCCGGTGCCAATGCTGCACTCGGTGGACAACCCACGGCTGGGGGTGCTTACGGGGCCTACACTCAACAGCCTCAAGTTGCAGGATATCAACAACCGGCCTACGGTGCGGACCCCAGACAGATGCAACCCGCAGCGCCGTCATATGGCGCACCTGTTGCCGCAGATGTCTCCCAGATGACACAGCAATTTGGTGGAATGGGCATGAGCGAACCTCACCACATGCCGCCCCCGCAGCCTGTGGCCCAAGCCCCTATGCGACCTCAGGTCCAGCTCAACCAGCTTTACCCCACGGACCTTCGATCCCAACCTTTCAACGTCGCTGAGCTGGACTATCCCCCTCCTCCAGTTATCTTGCCTCCGGGAGTATGTATATGCTAGATTGCATCTGGGGTTGATGTGCTAATAATTGATAGACCAGTGTTTACCCATCGCCCGAAGCTAATTGCCCTACGAAATACATGCGCTCTACGCTAAACGCTGTCCCCACAACTAACTCCCTTCTGAAGAAATCAAAGTTGCCCTTCGCCCTTGTCATCCAACCGTATGCCTCTCTTCACGATGCCGAGGACCCGGTTCCTGTGATACCAGACCAAGTCATCTCACGATGCCGACGTTGCCGTTCCTATATCAATCCCTTCGTCACCTTCCTCGACCATGGCCATCGCTGGCGTTGTAATATGTGTAACCTGACGAATGATGTGCCACAAGCCTTTGATTGGGATTCTACACTGCAAAAGCCCGCCGATCGTGCGCTGCGTGCTGATCTCAACCACAGCATGGTGGAATTTGTTGCGCCGCAGGAATATATGGTCCGACCACCTCAACCTCTGGTCTACCTGTTTTTGATTGATGTGAGCTATGCATCAGTAACCAACGGTCTTTTGGCCACCACCGCTCGCACTATCCAAGAGAGCCTTGATCGCATCCCGAACGCAGACCGCCGTACCCGCCTCGGATTTATTGCAGTGGACTCAAGCCTGCACTACTTCAGCATTCCCCGGGATGAGTCAGAGTCCTCAGAGCCCCGCATGTTGGTTGTCAGTGATCTGGATGAGCCTTTCCTCCCCATCCCCGGTGATCTCCTGGTGACGCTGAGCGAATGCCGGGAGAACATTGAGGTCTTCCTCCGCAAGCTGCAGGAAATGTTTCAAAACACCCAAAACAACAGCTGTGCCATGGGTGCGGCATTGCGAGCTGGTTACAAGTTGATCTCTCCCGTTGGTGGAAAGATGACCGTGCTGAGCTCATCTTTGCCCAACATGGGTCACGGAGCGCTCACTATGAGAGAAGACAAGAAGGTGCTGGGCACTAGCAAGGAATCAAGTCTGCTCCAAACCGCAAACTCCTTCTACAAGAGCTTTGCAGTTGAATGTTCAAAAGCTCAAGTCTCCGTGGATATGTTCCTCTTCTCCTCGCAATACCAAGATGTGGCATCTTTGAGCTGCTTGCCCCGCTACACTGGTGGTCAGACCTACTTCTACCCTGGCTGGAACGCTGCACGGACTGAAGATGCAATGAAGTTCGCCCGTGAGTTCTCTGACTACCTCTCTTCGGAGATTGGTCTGGAGGCCGTTCTCCGCGTGCGTGCAACCACCGGTCTGCGCATGAACACCTTCTATGGCAACTTCTTCAACCGTAGCTCTGATCTCTGTGCTTTCCCGGCCTTCCCTCGTGATCAGGCCTACGTGGTCGAGGTGGCCATTGATGAGACAGTTACAAAGCCAGTCGTCTGCATGCAGGCTGCTGTCCTTCACACTACCTGCAATGGTGAACGTCGTATCCGTGTCTTGACCTTGGCGCTTCCCACGACCCAAAATCTGGCAGATGTCTACGCCTCCGCTGACCAGCAAGCCATTGCCACACTCTTCAGCCACAAGGCCGTCGAGCGCACATTGAGTAGCGGCCTCGAGCCCGCTCGTGAGGCACTTCAGGCCAAGATCGTGGAGCTTCTGCAGACCTACCGCAAGGAGCTTGCAGGAGGTAGCGTCAGCGGTGGTGGCCTCCAGTTCCCTGCTAACTTGAGAGCCTTGCCCGTCCTGTTCCTTGCGATGATCAAGAACGTAAGTGTTCCCCTCTCTTTCTTTTGATCGGTGTTCGATGCTCACCATTTTTCTGTAGCTCGGTCTTCGCAAATCCGCCCAGATCCCCACGGACATGCGGTCGGCAGCTCTCTGCCTTCTGTCAACCCTGCCCCTACCGCTCCTCATCCAATTTATCCACCCGAGAATGTACTCCCTCCATGACATGCCCGACAATGCAGGTGTGCCTGATCCCCAGACCGGCGAAATCGTCCTGCCCCCTGCTGTCAACTTGTCCTCGGGTCGCCTCGTGCCCTACGGTCTGTACCTCATCGATGATGGTCAGACCCAGTTCCTCTGGGTTGGCCGTGATGCTGTTTCACAGCTTATTGAGGATGTCTTTGGTGTCCCTGACAAGTCGCAGCTGCGGGTGGGCAAGCAAACCCTCCCCGACGTTGAGAATGAGTTCAACCAGCGTGTGCGGGCCGTGGTTGAGAAGAGTCGGGATCACCGGGCCAAGGGTGTGGGCAGCATGACCGTGCCTCACCTGTACATCGTTCGCGAAGATGGCGAGCCCGGTCTGCGTCTCTGGGCTCAAACAATGCTGATTGAGGACCGTGCCGACCAAAGTGTCAGCTTGGATCAGTGGATGGGTTCCTTGCAGGAGAAGCTTTGAGCCCTGCTCTGGTCATAGTATCGGTCAGCACTGCCGATTTGTCCTCAGGTTGTGCAGTAATGAGGATGCTGACCGGTGGGTCTTGGTGGACCATGAAAAATCGTTTTTTCGCAAGTCCCCCCGCCTGTACCATTACGTTGGGGAAGATTGCGTTTGGGTTTCTATCACGGCGGGCATGTTTGGAGTATCTAGTACTAGTAGATCGCTGGGTTATAGTTGACCGGCGATAGGCGCTGATCGCATCTATGAAGAATTAACGGCATCATTTTTTCTACTTTTACTTTTTATTTTGGTACCATAATAATTTGATTAGGTCAATCAAATGAATTGAATCTTTCAAACAGTCCATGGGTGCTCAGCCCTCAATTCAGGGCTAGTCCTTGGGTAGTCGTCCAGTGGCATTGAGAACAGGCGCCACGTAGCCCTCCTGTTCCCTTTCTCCGTCTGTTGACTCGATGGTAGACGATTAATTGCCACCCCGCAATTGACTATCTTTGAAGTCAGGTTGTTCATTCAAGGCAATGGAAACTATTGATGCTATTGGTATTATGATACTCGAAATGAGGCCACAGCTCCAAGTTTGCCCACTAAGGATGCTGAGGCTAATACGCAGAACCATCCCCTAATGTATGCACGTTCAACAACAAGCAGGGTTGCACATCATTACGGCAATAGATTCAGTAAAGCTGCCGACATTGGCTCTGAGATGAATCACGAAAGGGAATGTTTCCGTCTTGATCAAACACTACCATTTTCCTACTCCAATAGCAAGAGATGAAAGCCTTCCACGGCATTCAGTAGGCCGGTCACACTTTCAATCATGACGTTGAACCTGTGCATGATGCGCAATTGCTTAGCAACCGTGATATCCACAAATACCAAGCCAGAAAGTCTGCCCAACTTCCTATACATACAATATGGTCTAAAGCAGTCATGTCTTCAGGTCGGGTCTACAACATCAGTTGTGCTGTGGCGACGATGTCACCATCTCTTTCGCTTCTGAGCATGATATATTGAACCCATGTCAGTGAATTGGGTAAGATCCACCACTAGCCCTTTCAAATTCTCTATCAATGTAGTTGGTGGGTGGAGAAAATACAAAGATCTTGCCGAGGACCGCTTATACTGGGTCATGAACAACTAAGAGGGAATCGTACGAAACAAGCCAAAGCCCGATTTTATCTCTGTGATGAGCATAACTCGATCAAGAATGGAATCCGCGCTTGAAGCACCTACGGAATACTTCTCACCCAACTCGGGAATGGCAATCCACCACCCTGTGTACGGATGGCAAGCTCGTCTACAAACACCCAATCTGAGACTGCTTATCGTGCTTTGTGGCAAAGCAACAGACATGAACGAATTCCGGCTCGGTCTTCTTGGTCTACCTTGGGTTTATGTCAAGATCTTCCTAATGAATGCAGATAGGGTGTCCACGTCACCATTGCCTTGCAATCGAGCTACCGAGAATCAGCACTTTCCATCCCTATGTCGATTTCTTATATGTGCAGGTGAACATGCTGAACATGCTGAACATGCCGTAATGCTTTGTCATTCATGAACTTCTAAAGCGACCCTCTCTGATACAATGTTTCGTTCTCTGATTTTGAGATGCTGGAACAAGCGACAGTGGATCTACCACAACATGTAGAACAAATTACGCGTGTTCAGTCGCATGGTCAGAAGTGTCTTATCTATCTCGGGAAGATCAACCATCCAGATCTGAATCAGTGTAATCTCATCGTTTAATTTTTTGGGGAGAAGAGGGGGGAGAAGGGGTTTGCAAACTGCCATGTTCTTTTGCCTCACTCATGAAATGAAGGGGAACATTCTACTCACGGACCAGGGACGCTGCTAATTGGGGACACTCCAGGTAAGCCCTTGGATCGAACCGCCTTTAGCATATACTGAATAAGCTGATTGTTGACCGGAGATTAGAATATTGAAGGTCCGTCCTCCGTAGTCTATATTTTAACAGAGACAAGGTTTCGAGTATTTATAGGCCACTAGAAGAGTCCACATGGTATTCTATTTTGAACAGAGCAAGTTTTAGCGCCTTTCCGTGACAAAGCGTAAGCTCTGAAATTAGTGCCATGAGTAACCGTGAACACCCTCATAAAGCAGCACTGTGGGAAAATTGCACGGCCCATAGAACATTTCCCCGATTAATGGGATACCCCTTGGGACTAGTGAAACTAGGAATGGTGGATTCTCCAATCAGGATGAAACTAGCACCTCCTATGCGGTAGAGCGGGCAAGTTGATTGTGACAAGTTTCGCCAGGTGCAGTAGCGCCGTCCATAGAGCGCGACATGTGAGAGACTTTGGCGCTGTGGCGGAGATCCCTAGATCGCTCTGGTATAGGTGTACTTCTGCACTACTTTGTGATATATGGGTGATATCAGCTTAAACCAAGTACCTGATAAGTAGTTGTGGAGATAATCAGTGATCCAAGGTTCCACGTCCATCAAACCAGAGAAAGCGGACAGGGGGGGAAACAGTAACAGACCACTCTCCCTCTACCTTGTACTTCCTCTCTCTACACTTCTCTAGGACCGTCACTCCTGTTTTTCTTCCTTAATTGACACCAATTCCCGTGGATTGCTGAATTGAAACCACTGTGTTTCACCACATTGCCGGATCTTCAAAGCTCTCTGCCCCACGACTTCCCATACGGCCCCGTTCTCCAGCTTCACCTTTTCTCATCATCTTCTCCTTTCTTCTCAATTTTTCTTAGCTTGCACAGAGAAAAAGCAAGAGGTAAGTCCCAGTCTAGCCCTGACCCGTTGTGATCCCGCATCAGAGGATGACCCCGCTTCGGAGCGTCTAGGCTCGTCCTCTCCACGCGCAGCAGCATCATCACCGTCAATTCCACTAACATACCACGTTCTTAGGCTCCAAATTTACTACCGTGTTCCTGACCTGGCACCGAAGCCCGTGATCTTCACATCCAACGCCCGGTCTCTTGGGTCTAGACGCTGTACCTGTCACATCTCCTTCACCCGGAGCTTCGTACGACCAGGGTACCTCTCTACCTTTTCTACTCCGCGCTTTGCATTCCCTGAGATCTCGCCAACCTCCGAATCCCAATTCTGTCGAGAGTCTGAGCGCCTTTGCGAAAAAAAAAACTAATTCGATTGCGGCGCAAACGAAAGTAAGCCTTATCTCCCGGTTTCCGTGAATTGTCGTTGCCTTTGTTCCCTCTGTTCCCTCGAGCTGGTACTTGTGGTCGAGTTGCTCGAGAATCTTGAGCGATTAGCCTTGGGTGCTATCTCTCCACGTTCCCTGGACTGTGAATCGCCAGATTGTGCGCGATTTTCCATCTACTGTTCTCATCCCCAGTCCCTGTTTCATTTACCCATGGATTGTGTTCGACCTTTTTTCCACTGGATCCCACGGATTTTGAAAGCTGACGATCACCCAAAGGATACGTTTACCAAAGAAACCGTTGGCAAGATGGTTCAGCCAAGCCCTCCCGCGGGAGGATCCCGAAAGATCTCCTTCAATGTTTCCGACCAATATGAAATTCAAGATGTTATCGGTGAAGGCGCCTATGGTGTCGTCTGGTAAGCAGTATGAGCCTTTTTGTCAAGGCTCCTCTAACTCCATGCAGCTCTGCCATTCACAAACCCTCGGGGCAGAAGGTTGCCATCAAGAAGATCACCCCCTTCGATCATTCCATGTTCTGCCTGCGTACACTGCGTGAGATGAAGTTGCTGCGATACTTTAACCACGAGAACATCATCTCCATCTTGGATATTCAGCGGCCCCGTAACTACGAGGGATTCAATGAAGTTTATCTGATTCAAGTACGTCGACGCTTGCCACCTGACAAGACGCGTATGTATGAAATATGCCTGGTTCACTAACGGCATGTAGGAGTTGATGGAAACAGACATGCATCGGGTTATCCGCACACAAGACCTCTCAGACGACCACTGCCAATACTTCATCTATCAGACCCTGCGTGCACTCAAGGCAATGCACTCAGCCAACGTGCTCCACCGAGACTTGAAGCCCTCAAATCTTCTTCTCAATGCCAACTGTGACCTGAAAGTCTGCGACTTCGGTCTGGCTCGTTCGGCCGCCTCCACCGACGACAATTCCGGATTCATGACAGAATATGTGGCCACACGTTGGTACCGTGCACCAGAGATCATGTTGACATTCAAGGAATACACCAAGGCTATTGATGTGTGGAGTGTCGGCTGCATATTGGCTGAGATGTTGAGCGGAAAGCCTCTCTTCCCTGGCAAGGATTGTACGACTCCACTTCTCCATCTGAGCGGCAAGAGCAAGAACTGACAACCCCACCTAGATCACCACCAGCTGACCCTCATCCTGGATGTCCTCGGCACACCCACGATGGAAGATTACTATGGCATCAAATCCCGCCGTGCCCGCGAATACATCCGCTCCCTTCCCTTTAAGAAGAAGATTCCTTTCCGCGCACTCTTCCCCAAGAGCAATGATACGGCTCTGGATCTCCTCGAGAAGCTGCTTGCTTTCAATCCGGCTAAGCGTATCACTGTCGAGGAAGCCTTGAAACACCCTTACCTCGAGCCATACCATGATCCCGAAGATGAGCCTACTGCACCGCCCATTCCCGAGGGATTCTTCGATTTCGACAAGAACAAGGATGCGCTGAGTAAGGAGCAGTTGAAGCGTGAGCTTACCCTTTGAATCTGGTTCTGGTCTTCTCTTGGTATCTCTGCTAACCTCCCTTCAGTCTTGATCTACGAGGAAATTATGCGGTAAATCTGGACGTGGCAATTTCACATGATCTTTGGTTAGTTAGGAGGATGCTAGATTCCATTCTGCACACACTTTAACTTGACAGCGTGATTTGATACATGTTAGAGATAGCAGGGCAACTCAAAATACGAGTATGAGTTTTCAAGTAAAACAGCTGACTTGCACCATCAAACCCTACACTGCCCTTTTGCTAGTTTCTTTACAAATGGTTCCAGCTCTACATCTAGGTATATACACCCACCCTACACAAGCACACAAAGTACATAGTTGGATACACCCCCATCTATATCAACCCCTCAAATCCCCACCCACAAACTTCTCAATACCCTCAAGCACACCCTCAGGACTAGGCCTCGGTGCACAAACATGCGCCTCAAACCCAAACTTCTCCCGCAGATGATCCCGCGTCGTAGGCCCAATCGTGGCAACAAAGACCCGTCTACTCCCATTTCCAGTCCCAGATCCAGTCCCAGATCCAGCAAAGGGCCCCAATCCAAGAACCCGTAACATAGCCTCACACCCCGTCGGCGAGAAAACAACAACCCAAACATCCCCAGATTCCTGACTCACCACATCGGCAAAATCCCCTTCAAAGGACTCCATCACACCCGTCTCGTACACAACGAGCTCCTCGACGTTCACCCGCTTCTCGATCGGTAAGGCTTTGTTCATTAGTGTTTTCGGGATGATATCCCGCCGCACTTCGCCGACAAGAAACAGGAGTGCTGGTTTATTTGTCGGGTAGAGGGAATCATAGTGGGAGAGGATGAGATGCGCGAGATTCTCTCCGGTTCCTGCGTCTGCGCCGTGGATGAGGGCGTCTGGGAGGTATGTGTCACGGAGGGTTGTGAGGGTGCGGGCTGTGGCTGGACCGACGGTGTAGAGGATTAGGGGTGGGGTGGTTTGGATGTTGAAGGTTACTATGTAATTGCCGTTAGTTGGGGTCTGGGTCTGGGTTGATGGTGGGGGGGGGGGGGGGGGGTGGATGGGTTGTTGTGCACCGTCTTTTTCATCTTCGATCATCTGCGCGAAACCCTCGACTGCGCGCTGGCTGGTGAAGATTAGGCCGCCGTATTCCTCGGGGTGGATACATGGTTGGTGAATGCCCCTGTGCTGAATAGATCGCGG